GCCTTTACGTAGGTATACATTAAAATACTTTTACAATTGATATAAATTTCTAATCTGGCGAGATTTCAATGCATTACTATAGTTACATTTTCAACATTCGTAAGTAATGAAACTGGTTTCGTAACATTTTGCATTCCTTTAAAATCGGGACGCTTAATATTCCGAAGACATATTTCGTAGATGAAGTTTATAAAACGCGAAAACCGGCAAAAGTTTGAATAGCTTCGGAAAACGAATGAGTTCAATTTTTCCGTATCAATATTTTCAGAGAATATCTAGTTGGGCAGTATAGATGGATAGAAACTCCATAAAATATAGAGACGACCGCCGGCAAATAATATTAAAACGATTTCTCTCTACTAAAAAGATTAATTTATTTTAAACTGATACTACATGTGTACATACATATAAGGGAATAGTTTACATAAATTTTACCTTGGCGTATAACATGAAACTTTCGTTGTTTGAAAATTTAATTAAGTTTACTCTCAAAGGAATCCCGGAAGTTGAAAAATAGCATATAAAAACATAATAAGGTAGATAAATACGCATATTTATATCAAAGAAAGTGAATAAATGCACACAAAACCATATACGGCGAGTAAATTCATTAGAAGTATCTAATGCTATTACCTAAGCACCTAAGGTGTAAATTTTGGCAGCAAAAACAGAAAATAACCGACAAAACTTCACATAACATGACATTGTTGATTTTGGAAACGCTGCAAATGCATTCGGCATTAAACTTTTTTCAACTAGTAAAGTAAAACTGAAAATCCGCCTGCCTGGGAACTTCTGCAGAAGCACATTTAAAAATATTTTTAAAAACTGAATCGCGTTCGAACGGAAATTCGTTCTCTTAAGCGTAAAGTTCGATCTCATGTGGCAAGGGTGAGGATGGAAGATTACAGTCATTATATTTTTCAGGTCTCTTTTATTCGAGCGATTCGACATATTTTATATTCGTAAGCTCAAAAACGGCATTCAATTGTGATGGATTTCACGTAGAGAATGATTTTACATTTTTAGTTTATCGTATAGTTTAAGAATAGCAAACGAATTTCGCGTTTGATTTTTTTTATATTCGTTTTTATATTAGTTAAATATGGAGCATTGGATCTGGATATGGATCTGGATATGGAACTTAATCGCGTCTTAATTGTTAAACATTACTCCCGGTCGGGTCATTTCCCGGTTTGGTGACCAGAATTGGCCGCCACGTTTTTGTGATTTAGCACCTTTGGACTTCTGGCTGTGGGGTAACTTGTAGTCACAGGTTTATGCCAACATGCCCGCGACCACCGAAGCGTTGAAAGCCGAAATTAGACGCTGTATCAATAAAATACCGCCACATGTATACAATAATGCTATTGAAAATGTTATCAAAAGAGTACGCTTGTGTCAGCAAAGCCGCGTCGGCCATTTACAAAATATTTTGTTTCATATATAATTCCAAAATGTACACATGATAAATTTATAAATATTTCCATATTTTGCTACAGGTAACATTGTTTTATTGAACCTTAAAATCTTGCGTTCTTATTGAAATACCCTTTATTACAAATTCTTAAACAAATTTATGTCTTTTGTAGTATTATAAATCTATATACAGGTTGCTCCATTTTTGATCGCAACATAGGTTATATAGGCCATGGGTGCGATAAAGACAACTTCAATTAGACATCTTATAAAGGAAAAGGAAAGAGTGACATTTGTGTCATTGCAACTTTTCACTCTGATAACTGTCATTTTAATAATCTTTCTTTGTTTCACTCATAGAAATGACCATGTTATACAGGGTGGCCCAGAACTCTCGCCGCACCAGGAAATGCCTTATGGAAACAATAATGGAGATGCCAAAACTGCAGTCGAAAACATGAAAAAGTTATTCCTTTGGTAAATAAAGAGGTTTAAAATAGACCAATCCCAGTAGCAGTTTAAATTCACGAAAATGACGTGAATTAGCTACACCAATTTGACATTATTGAAAGATTCTATGTCCTTTTCACTTTCAAGGTTAAAAGCTGCCAAAATCAGCTGCGACTATATTGATCAAACATTTGCTTTCAAATCAATCATTTAGGAGCTCCGTCGTGCTGATACCAAACCTTCAGATTTTTTTTTTTTGCTACAAAAGTGGTTCGAATCGAATGATCGATTTTTTGATCAATTGTAACTTTCTTATCAAGAGGACTGTTATTTGAATAATCCCATTTAACACATATTTACTTACCCATACCTAAATCGCTTTTAAAATTTATTCTACTTATGCCTAAATCGCCTTTATAAAAGCATATCATTACGCCTGTTTTAACAAATTAAAAAGAACCGCCACTCGAACAAGCACAATATTATGAAGCATGGAATCTTTCCGCTCCGACTCCCGCGAATTTTCGATATGAAAGAAAATGATCCGAAAATGAAAGATTACATCTCAAACTTTTAAGAATGTTCCACATCTATCAAGTTTCGGTATCTTTCTTAACCTAAAAACGCCGCGGTATTAGTCACCTTTGGCCTCCGGAAAAAAGCTTGTCGTATGTTTATCAAAAAGTAATAAATAACCTAACGGGAGAGGTTTTTTTATTACGGAATGTGTTTATCCATCATTTACTGATATTTACGGTACAAATTAGATCAATTTTATTAATAACTAACAACTACGAGTATTAGTTTGAAAGAACCCAAATTAATATTTTTTGAGCTTAAAATGATTAATACATGCGCAACTGTTAATAATGCACTCACTGCCTTCGAAGTTAATTAAAATTTTATTATCATTATAAACTATGCTAAATTAAACGGTTATTACCTATTACCGAGTAAACTGATTGTAATTCTGGATGATCGTTGTTATAAAGTACGTAAAATCGTTAATAAAAATCAAGCATAAAAAAAGTTTCAATAATATTAATCATCGAGTGGTGATTTTACCCTCAGACTATGAACATAAAAAATGTAACTACAACCGCAATTCTTTAGCGAACTTCGCATCATATTTCAACTTTATGAACCAATTTTTAAATCTATTTTTCCGAACCGTACTTCATGTGTCTGGAATGAAGTGTCCCGAAGGTTCGGACATCAATATTCAAAGTTTGTCCTCGCAGGATCATTTATTATATGTCTTAGAACGCGCCTTCCTTTTAACTGCATCCAATTTAAAAGGGGCCCGAAGGCGATTATACACTTCGCCTATTCGAATTCTATCTGGATTTTGTGATTTGTGATTTCGACTTGCCGCTTCTTCACGAAAACGACGAATTAAATTTAACACTATTCCGGCTGCGATTAAGGATGTAGGGCGTGTATCACTTGAATTCGAATTGAAAGTTTGAGTGAAATCGTATGTGAAAATCGTTATTTTAATAGGGTTCTATTTTACAACATTTTTTGTACATTCTAAAAGAATAGTTATTACATTTTTATTGTTAGGTTTAGATATGAACTTATTTAAAATAGAAAAATTTTAGTTTGATAAAGTGAAACATCTTTCAAGAAATATAAAAAAGTTTTCGAAATCAATAATCCTTGATATTCCATTTTCAATATCACAATACACCTATATGGAAAGAATGGAAAAAGGATCAACTTGATAGGTTTACTTTACTGAGATTTTTTTTATTCTCTACTCCGCTTCGCCGATTTTAAAATTCTTTCTGTGCAACGTCACCATAAACGAAATTTTGTTAGATTTATGTTTTTGACATTGCTTTCAATTTCGGTCTGAAAATTCTCGATTCAACTTCACTTTTTTATAGTTCAGTAGGTGTACTTACCATGTACGTACCAGCATAAATCATAAAATAATATATTCCTCAAAAAAATCAGACTAAAAGATTGTAAATAGTAAATTCATCCTTTTCCTAATAGTACTAGTATTTGGGTTAATTACATATACCCTATTAAAAATAAATTAACGCATAATAGGGAAATCAATATAATCGAACCATCTACCATTTATAATACCATTTATATAATCAACCCGAATTTATCGCGACGTTCTATTGAAATGTACACTGGTAGACTGGATTTAGTCTTTAGACGGCTAAGAATTTAACATCGATTTCCCTATTATGCGTGAATTTATTTCCAATACTGTATACTTTGGATAAACCATACAAATTGTTTCCAATAAAATAACGGTATGAAGCAATTGGAAGCGTGTTATTATATAAAGCTAATTAATGTTAAACAGGCGTTATTCCACAAATGCAAATATGTATTGTACGTTTTAATGAGATGTTTAATGAAATTCTACTACATAACGGAATAATTACCTTCGGTGCGAGTCAAAGCCTATCGATAATTCGTCAATTAAAGAGTGGTCACATACATTACACTGAATATAGGTTCTTCAATTAAATTTCTTACCATTTAGTATTGAATTCATCGATTGTAAACGTTTCCAGTTTACCTCTGTGCATTCATTAATTTATTCATAAACATGTAAACTAAGTTTGTTCCAGGCAATGGGTTTATTTACCGGAAAATTTAATAACGCGTCAGTAACAAAATATGAGCGCTATGTTCGCAGGCAGTCGCTTTAACATAAATTTTCATTTCATTTTGGAATACAAAAATTGTCCACAATGAATCAATCACCAAGTAAAAAGGCAAAGAAATATACGAGTCGATAAAAAGCGGATATATGGTTATTTCTCTTCTAAATATGTCACTCAAGTAGAGCCGAAATTTGGAGAATTTCGTGCCTTGTGGGGCCCTATTTTGCAACTGTTAGCTTAGGACGCGAAACCGACGAAACGTAAATAAATTCTGTAAACTTCAATCATGAAACCTACAATCTAAAGAACAATGACTTAATTACGCGATGTTGAATTATTTAAGCTGACTAAATTAATTGCCAAATTTAAAAATGTCCACCTACATACAAAAATTTGAAAATTTGGATATTACTAGATACTAATTATGTATAAGCAACTTTGGGCATAGATTAAATAGTTAGAAACATTAGACTTGAAATACATTATTTATCTTACCTATTTCCAGATACTTCTGATGAACCGAATCGTACTCGTCCCAAACAATCGAACGGAATCTATTTCTTTCCCGCGACGCCGCCAAAATTGGATCTTGCTTGTGATTCTCATTCGGATTTCTGCAATTTAAAACACAATTCAATTTCAGGTGTTAAAGGTATTTCAGTCGATTGCTTTAACTCAAACAACTTTGAGACGCTGGAATGTTGGAGTGGATTACGTTTGTGAACTTCTTATTACTATTAGATGAAGAACGTGTTTTGCAAAGATTAGGATTTTAGGCTCAATTTTCTTTCATCGAAACAGTAATTATTATTGTTTTAGTGCCTCTTAGAATAACAGTGAATTCGTATTACAAAAATGAAAATTTGCTAGTTGCATTTAAAAATGGTTTTACAACAACACAAAAAACTTATGAAAGGATTTATCCATTAACGTGGATTTAACTTGTGTTTTGAACCGTTTGCCCTTTTAACTAATTCGAATTTTAAACTAACAATGAAGTAACTATAATAATAAATTTCATGCAAAAATACGCATTTCGGAAAGCAAGCTTATCCCAAACAAACAAACTAATTCCTGCTAAATTAGCTGTATCTAATTTTAACGGTTTTAACATAGCTGCAGCTTTGAAATACGCCAGATATGAGGCAAAGTCAACTTGACTATCTATAATACATAACCATTATAGCCGTTCCGTATTAGACGACAAATTAAAGTTCAAATAACCGCACAATGTCACAGTTGGTGGATCCCTTGCAATTCAGTGCATGATTCTGCAGTAAAGCTTCCCGCTGCCCGTAGCTAAACAATGAATTTGAGGGAGAGGTATGCGTTTATAAGTTACTGCCCTTCAAATACCGAAAGTTTAATTATGCAGATCGAGTTCACCAGATGCCGCCACGTTATATTGGTTATAAATTAGTGTATTTTAATGAATCAAAAATTCAGAATATACTTTAGTATCTATACATAGTATCCATACAGAGTATCCTTATGTGCCGCAAATTTAGAATCTAATAGTTCATGTTTCCTTTTTGTTGCAAGTGCTGCAATTTCCTGTATATCTATTAAAAGAACAATAAATGCCGTCAATAACAAGACATCTATACTATCTGTGTAGTTAATAGGGCTGATAGACGGTTGAATAAAGCAGTTCGTTAATAGCATTAATCGAACTCCAAAATTCCACATACTTTTCGTGAACAATGGTGAAACTGAAAGTTTTACGATCAAGCTCTAATGCACTTAACTTGATTGCAAAAACATAGTGCTTTGGTATTTAGATATTTAGTCGTATTGGCAAATGAGTGTAAGGAAATAGATTAGATTAGATGCATATGTAAAAGAAATAAAATTTTATTAGCTTAGGCACGCCGTTTAAAATATGTATATTGATTTCATTCTAATGTTATTTTGTGAGTCGTTTTGTTCTTAAATGAAAATTATAAATAATTAATTATAATACTTACCCTGTTCTTATAAAATTTGCTATGTATATTAGGAAAGATTCTGATAAAGCCAATTCCGACTTAGTGTAGTTCTTAGGAAAATGATTGAAACCATCAACTAGAGGTGCTCCAAATATGTAAGGAAGTTCTTCACCATGAACAGTACCCATTCTCTGCAAAAAATGATATTTACACAAATTAATTTTTATAGTTCTAATTTTTGTTAACAAAAAAAGGTAATACATGAAAATCCAAAATATGGTTAATAGTAAATAAAAAAATCACTGGATTCAATATAAATTTCTTATTGTGCTTAGTTAACGTAACGAATAGTATATAAGCACTACCTTTGTACCTTTGTGATATTTGAAATTTAACACCTCAAATGTCAGTAGTAATACATACACGGTAAAGTAATCCGCTACTATAAACACGTTCACCTATGGTAAAGTAGCAGATTCAATTTTCACGTAATCCTCTTGTAATGAACTCTTCCTACACAATGTAAATGAAATTAAAGGCGCCCGCTGTAGCAGGGTTTACAACAAGGTATACATTAAATTAATTCCCTAATTAATTTTTGGAAGCATAAGAATTTTGTTTAAACATAAACAGGTAGGAGGGGTAAAACGGTTAATTTCATAATATATTTAGCATACGTTACGGAATATTTTAATGTATTTATGATAAATCTATTTTATTAAAAATCATACATACTTTCTTAACTGCCATGTTCACCAACGTCTGTTAAATCGCTAACAGAGAGATAAGTTGTAATCAATTTGTTATCATATTTTGGCATTGACCTGCAATGTCAGTTAATACTTAACAGTCAAATAAAAGTAACAGAGCAAAATCGAACTGATAAAAGAGGTAACTGACTGACAACTTCAATCCAAATGTCAAAATGGTCAAGATTTTTACGATTATTTAACAGTGACATGTAACATTTTAAATTTATGCCTAATATAATAGAGCATTTAAATAGAATAAAGTTTCACGAATTGTTTAATTCATCTTCCAAAGATAGTGATAGAAATAGATATAAATATTCCAAAAGAGAATTAAAAAATAGGTTCAGATTGAAAAATGATGGAATAACCATTAGAATACAATTATTACAGTTACTTACTTCTTCAAATATACAAATTTAACATTAATACTACCTAATTTAGTAGAATTTGTGGTTATGAGTTCCTCATGAAGTTAAGGACTATATTGTAATACCAACTTAATGTTGCTCATTTTTAAGAAAACTGTCTGTCTACTATCAGCTACTTCAAATATCGTCGTGAATAACAAATATTGTTAACCGACTGATAAATTCTATCAGGCTGATAATTATCAGATTAATAAGCCGAAATTGATGAATATGGGCGTAAAGATCGTATTTTTTAATGTATAGCTAAAATTATAAGCTTAATATGATTGGTGGTTATACTGGTTATTAAATTCAAAACCTCTTTAGAGCTATTATACCTCAAGTATAATGGTTAAAAAATATATTAGGTATGTATTAGGATACCTATATCTAAATAACTGAATTACAAAGAAGGGCGCAAATTTGAAATTAAGAAACCAAGACGGCACGCAACGTCATCTACCCAGAACGAATAATAAAATCCAACAGTTATGCCGGAAAATGGGTAGAAAATAAGGAAGCAGATGTTGATTTGCATTATACTGATTAGAATAACGAAACAGTTGGGATTTAATTAGTTTGTTGAACTTCCAGTTTTCCTTCCGACAACTCATAAATACAGTTTATTCATATTTATAATTTTATTTCATTAATTTTATTAAAACTTCTAGTAGGAAACGCCTCTTTTTTTTGTAAAAAAAACGGCGGCATTTGTCGCCACCTGTAACTGCCGCACCTGTATAAATAGCAGTAGAATAATGGAAATGAAGTAGCGTTTTATTATTTGGAATAAAAAATTTCAAAATGAAGCGCCGCATATAAGCGCACATTGCAATGCACTGTCGTACATCACGAGTGGCGGCTCCTATCCTTCTGGCCTAGTTTTATGCGCGAACACAAACGACCCTTTCGAGGGGTTTGTTTTTGAAACTATATGCGGATTGTGCCGGGATATTTCTTCCTCACAGTTTTTCTCGTAAATGTGAAAAATGATTTAACTCGTAGATGCTGCGCTTTGAAATAGAATTTCAGATAAAAAACGTATATGCTATAGGTATACCTACGAATTTTCCTGTAGGACGCATCTACGTATTATGAAAATACTGAATGAAATATAATATGTGTTATTGTATACATTTCCCAACATTATTAATTATTCAAATAAGTGCTTACACTAGACGTACTACTGTTATAATACGATCTGTATATTCATACTTTTTTCTCTAGCAAATCTAATTGAAAAGATCTCTATTTCTGGAAAGAAACCAATAGTCCCCAAAGGCACAACAGTAATAAATTCCCAATATTTTTTGGCACCATTTCAGGTGTAAACTGAAACACAAGTTTTTTGTGGAATTTTGTTTCAACAAAAAATTTCCGAACAGTTGTTACATAACATGTATAGCAGTGAAAAAAGTAAGAACAAAAAACTCTTTACGAGAGGATACATAAAAATAAATTTGTAACAAGAAATAGCAGAATTCTCTTTCTAGAGTTTAAATATTAATTATGTTTTCTGCGAATTTTCTTAGGTAATATCATCATTTCAACCCAACTATGTTTTAGCAGTTGGTATTAATAACCGCTGAAATTCAGACCATGAACGGAAAGGACATAATTAGGAAAACTATCTGTTTTTATTACTCTTCCGCAGCCGCTAATTTTATGTTAAGGAAGTAAAAGGAAGGCATTTGAAAAAGAGGAGGTAGAGAAAAGGGTCCGTTTTCTAATTAAACCAAAAATGGAAAAAACAGGAACGGTTTCTTTAGGGTTCTTCTTAGTAGATAACAGTGCTTCGAAAAAGATGCTGTAATTTCAGTTAATTTAATGTTTAAATGAAGATTAATGGATTTCTACGTAAAGGTATTGTAATATTCTAAAGAAGTACATATTCTGTCATGTACCTACTATTATTGCTTTAATGCCTTAACTCGGTGTTATAGATTTTTTAATTGGAAATCAAACCTCCGACATTTTGTTTACATGAAGATTGCTGAGAAACATTAGGATGCTGAAACTTATCTTCTAATAAAACGCTTTTATTGCCTCAATGCTCTGAATTCACTCGTTTAGCTCCTAAAAAGGCATGAAGCTGACCTCAATACCCTTAATGGTTCTGGTAATTAGAGTCTTTAGAGAAATAAAACGGAAATTTTCATTGTTTTATGACGAAAGCATTCTACAAATTTTATCCAGAATTTTAAAATTACCGAAAGACCGTTCCTGAAATAAATTCAATTGAATAAAGCTTAAAAATACGTAATGGCTTAAAAATCCGACATACTCCGCGAACAAATATTTTTTAAATTAACCAAATTGATTGAATCCGGTATTACATATAAATATACAGAGAAATAAAATATTCAAAACGTATTAATGCTTTTAAAATAACTAAATGCATAACCTATCTGAATTAAATGAAAGCATTTTATAGGATTTTTATAAGTATCTATGTATGTACTAAAAATTTGTATGTAGGCTAATTCCAACGTTGACATTCGGCGAAGGAAATATTTTAATTTTAAAACGTATCCAATTTACATTTAGAGACATTCAGCTTATTTTATTATTTAGCTATTTTTCATTTTAAAAATGTAAGCATTAGATTTGAGTATGCATGGTGGGAATAAGAACATCTTCAGCTTGTTTACGTACTATTTATTGGAATTATCGACATCTATATGACTAACGAGGGTGTATGTTACAAGCAACGTCAGAGGATGATTTATCGGGTCACCTTATCGATCAGCCTGTGAATTAATTATTCCGTAATTAATTATTAATTATGAGTGAATTGTGTTGTTATAGTATCTAGTTTATTTTAGTAATTAAAAAAGCGCTTCAAGTTGTTGACGTTTCATATAACAATATGATTCAATCCAAAATCTAGATAATAAAAAAATCTCCGGCATGATATTTACTTTGTAATATACGCATATCCGCTTTTCGTGAAAAGATGAATACTTTTTGTACATTTTTCGTTTCTAATATTCCGCGAGAAATTGGATACGCTTCATACATATTGATGAAAATTCCGTTGAAAACCGACTGTTATCATTTTTCTCGAATTCAAAATCAATTCTGTAAATCAAATTATTTGCCATAGATTAGAAACGACGCCTTTTTTGTTTCCATAAAACGAATATAGTATTGTCTCGCGCTTCCGGAAAACATGTTTATATACAATATCTTTTGGCGCTTTAGGAACGATTTGATAGAATTTCATTTTAATATTTCGAGTTATTTTAGCGGTATTTTCATCTAAGAACATAAATACCTACAGTGCTTTATAAATTTTTTTATGTACACCATGAAATTGGTATTTGTTTCCGGAAAGTGCAATAATGCATTTAAAATTACAAGTTCGAGATAGCATCTTCTGAAAAATTACGGAGACAATAAATCGCTTGACGATGTTTTTGAAGTAATACCCATGTTATAACACTGCAGATTAAATTCTTTATGATTTATTAACAATGTTAATATATTAATGTAAAAGGACTTTCTTTCGGAAAAATAGACATTTCCTCTCCATCAAATCGATTCTGTTTGGATCTTGTTATAACCTTGCTATGATAACCATGTTATATAGGCTTTATAAATTGATTGCCGATATTTCCGGATGTGAATATTTGGATGATTTTAAAAAGAAAAGTTTATATCAATGTAGGTATGTCCTAAACCTCTTAGTTTTTGAGCTACAGGGTGTTAAAATTTTAGAAAAAAAATTACTTTTCTATCATAATTTTATTATTACTGCAGATATTTTTATGAAATTTCGGACGTGGACGTCTCTCGTTATAGTAGAAAATTAGGTAGATAATTAAGTTTTTATGCATGGTGGGCGCCTACCAAATCTTAACAAAATATCAGCAGTCTCTTAATTTAACTTGAGACAAAAATTGTTTTGGTTTTTATTTTTTTACGCGAAAATGGTGCATCGTACGAAAGTCTTCTGACCGAATTTGCTGCAAAATACTAGCGCAACTTGTAGATGAAAAGGTGTTGTATCTCTTCGGAATGATTCTTCTAGGACTTCTGACAACTGTTAAATTAAAATTAAAGTTGTAGCCATCTGTATGTTTTATAAATTTTTTGTTTGGCAAATCACCTTGCATTTGCAGAAAATGGCTGATATAGCAATGGAAAAAGGTCGCATTAGCCATATTGCTAGCAAATAGCAAGTACAAAAATGACATTGTTCAAATAGCAAGGATTACAACAAAATATCTTTATTAGTGGCAGATCATATTGTTTAAATTACACGAACAGAATAGGCCGTATTTATATAAAGAAGCATAACCTTTTGCTTCCAAAAAATGAAGGAATTGCTTCATGGTATATGCATAAAATAAGTGAAGGAAGAGAAGTTTTGCTTCGAGGACACTGCTGCTGCTTTATAGCAAATGGTTTTATGGTTTTAAAACCTTTGTTTAGAGTTTAAAATCATTTTCTCTTACTTTTTGCTTCTACCTTTTACTTTAAAGTAATGCTTCAGCTTTATTTTTAGTATGGACTAATAAGTTGTTTCTTAGGACATTGCAGCTATACAATAACAATATCTTTGCAAAATAGCCAATAACCATATTGCTATTTACAAACAGAATCGACCTGAAGTTGAGTTATTATTAGCTGAATTGTTCTGTGCTTTAATCATAGGCCATTGCCTAGTAACATACATATATCGGTGAATTGGTAGGCCTCTGTCATTACACTGTATGTACTCAATTTTATGAAGCGAATATGAATAATGTAGAACGCTGTTCTATTATTTTTATTGAACATCTGTGTTCTATTCGATCGTAAAACATCTATTGGATTACGTTTATGGATTGCAAGCAATTTGCTACGTAAGTTAAATTGGATGCATATAGGATGTTATCAATTTTACAACTTCCTCCAATATTAAATACTACTACTACCTTTTACCGTAAAAACCTAACCGTCCGAATTAAATTTTTACCGAAATAGTTTTACTTATACTACTTGTATTAAATATTTTATAATAAATTTAATATAAAAGTAATTGTTATAGAAGTTGAAGAAGAAAAAAATTTAATAGAAACTATGTAATGTTTTTACTAGCGAATTTTTGCTTTTCATTAGCAGTAATTGTTTGTCAATGTTTAATAAGACTAAATTCATCTGTCTTCGAGAGACATCCGCAGAGAAATTTGATCAACGAACAAACACCTTTGTATTTGTTTGAAAGGAGCCTAAGAAATAGAATTCTGTTCCTTCGGAATGAAAATTTCTAAGTGGATACTTCATCACTGTATAGAATGTCGTTAGACAGCCGGAAAGATTTTGATTCAATTGAATTTGATAAAAATTACTTAGAAAGGTGTAATTAAGCGTTTTAGTGAGTCGAGTCCAGGCTATAGGGTTGTGCTTTTCTCCTTCCTTCATTCAATTTATTTTATGTACACTTACCCGAGCGGAATACATAGGCACAAAAAATGGTATAAATATAGGTTGTCGCCGTTATCTGAACGTCTATTATATTAAAAATCGATTGTAGATATGTTCAATTTTAATTGAATTTTATTGTATAATTTATGTGTTCACGTTCATGTTGACGTTTCTAAAATGAAACTTTCTTTTTATTCTTTCAATATTTCATATAACGACCGAAACAACCTCAGAAAATTACTTTTGCAAGTAGTTATATAGAAAATTGTATTGAAGAAGGCTTATTTTTCAGTTATGAAAGATGGAAAAAAATCGTAATAATTACCTGTGGATAATCTCCATCTTTGGTTTGATAATCGAAAACATAGAAGAATGTTTTAGGTCCACTGGGCTCCTGGCCGGGCTGGGGCGGTTTAGCACTGAGAAGATCACCGGTTTGCACTAGAGGTGCGACGAATTGAGCGTCACTTAGAGCAGCGATCGAGGAGTCTCTAGTATTCACGGGATGTTGCACTGTCCTTTCCCAATCGGTGTACTCGTTAACGATCGTAAAAAATATCTCACTTAAATGGTAGGTGTAGGCGTTTCTCACGTAAGTTCGTAAAATCCTGTCTCGTCGTTCGCCCTCGAAACCTGCCGTTATGTCGTTGTTGGAGAATCTCCAAAGCGCCTCGCTGGTGACAACACCGAAAAGAAGGTCGTAAGGATTATTACCCCTGGGCGTAATTACAGCTTCGCTTCTCTTCATGTTACCGTTTACCGGTCCCACGAAATTCTGGAGATCCTGCGGCTTAAAGTATGTAACAAGTTCTTTGGCGAAGTCTGCTTTTATAACGACGCCGTCGACGCTTGGACCGAAAGCGTTCAGATATGCAGGCGCCATGACGTCGGCTTGTAAGAGATCATCTAGCGGAACTTCCCGTAGACAGTCGACTATAGACTCGTGATCTTTACCCACGTCTTCCGGAATAGAGCAATTTACTTCCTTAGCTAACTTCACGGCGTAATTCACGGGATCTTCCACCTGAAATGATAATTTTATGGATTGAAGAAGAGCAATTAAATTTAATAAAAGGGAATACAATTTTGTTGATTAATGTGCTATTTGCTTTTTCACTTTCTGTGTTATTTCTGCACCAGTCATGAATATTTTTATTCGTTATTAATTTTTCTCCCACAATTCCCGTAATAAATCATGCCCGGCGTATTTCAAAGTCAACTGTTTTTTTTTTTTTCATACATTCGCTCTATAAAAAGTGCCACATAAACGGCAGAATTCAATTCTTTTTTCCTTTCACCGATGCGGTAGTTTAATTAACAAGAACGGAATAAAACTCGGATTAAAAACCATATTTGGAAAACGGAAAAACAACACAGATTAGAAATTTAGATTGGCATGGAATGGCCGGGCTCGGAACGTGTGTTAATAATTTCATTTCAAAAAAATATACGTTACGTTAACTCCCATCAGATTTGATTCGCCTATTTCATATTGCAGATCAGAGTTTGTAAAATCGATTTTGCAAAAAAGGAGATGCGTTTAAAATAGTAAAAGTATGGTAGGATACAAATGAATTTTATTACCTACAATAAAATGTATATACACTGTGTTATTTATAAGATGCGACATAGGGATTCCTGTACAAATGTGTCAAAAGCAAGCTAACTTTTTTACCAAATAACGTTCATAAAAAATAATAACAGATTTGAAAAGATCGTAAAAAAATAAGTCGAAATGGACATTAAATTTTCTTAAATTCGTTCTGGTTTATTAAAAAATTGTATAATTAAGTTGAAAAAGTCATCCGTCATAAATAATTCCTTTTTATAACACTATCTAATTTTTTCCAAAAGGGGTGGAGCTAACAGAGATGGTTAACGCTCTGCAATTTGAATAATTAATTTTTAAGTAATGTGGTTCAAACCGCGCTTGGGGCAAAGTTTTTTTTTTGTTTTTTTTTTCGTTTTTTTTAATGTTTTTGTCTAAAAAAATGTTAAATAAAAGTATTTAAAATAAGACAAGCTTATTTGAGATTTAATTTTATTTTTATTTAAATAAAAGCTCCGACAATTAATTGTCAATTTTGATAATGCAAAATCTCGTTAGTAAGTAGAGCCTTTAAATTAATGCCATATTTTTATTAATGACAAAAAAACATTAAAAAAAACAAAAATACCAAAAAAAAAACAGAAAAAAATTTCCGCACTCGCGGTTTGAACCACAATCCTTCAACTCGAAATGTTCAAATTTCAGAGCGTCAACCAACCCTGTTAGCTCCGCCCCTTTTTACATTAATTAGATAGTGTTATAAAAAAGAATTATTTATGTCGTATGACTTTTTCAACTTAATTATACATTTTTTTAATAAACCAGAATGAATTTAAGAAAATTTAATGTCCATTTCGACATATTTTTTTACGATCTTTTCAAATCTGTTATTATTTTTTATGAACGTTATTTGGTAAAAAAGTTAGCTTGCTTTTGACACATTTGTACAGGAATCCCTATGTCGCATCTTATAAATAACACAGTGTATATTCTCAATATTCTCTTTAATGTGATGACTACTGAATTGCTGAAATAACTGAATAACTGATTTCAATTTACAACAACTTCTCTATAAATTATCACAATTTTGATTCAACTATTTTAATTATAAGCAGCGAACTTAGTATGTAGTATTGAAATTCCTTACTATTTAGGGATAGGCGGGTGTTTATCAAATTATAGGAACATACAAACCAATTTTATACAGTTGTCATTAAGCTTTATGGCTATTAAATTGTTTTATAACGACAATTAAAGCGTTTCACGGCACATACATACAAAGCTATATGTGCAATAAGTGAATTACTGGTTTACGGGACACAACTTTATTATTATTGTTATTGGACCGTTTACTAAACGAGTCGAACGTTTTGTTGATATTAAGTTAACAAAAGAATATTAAGATATTAAGAAAACTATTCAACTTAAAAGAGTAAAAATTTTCTTAAACATGTAGGTTTTGTTAGGATGATACACACCACATATTACCGAAGCATATCAAAATCCAAACTTCAATGGGAATTAACTCCTCCATTATTTTCAACAGCCCCTTCTTCTATATTTACTTAATTCAAAATGAAAATCAGGGCAAAACCGAGCGACTAAAGCGTCAGCCGTACGCTAGTTACACTAGATAAAAACCTCATTATTAAAATTTACTTAAGTATTCTCGACTTACCAGTGCCCAAGATGACAGTGCGGAACCTGACAGTAATATTGTTCGGTGAAATAGTCCGGGCATTACTGTAGGCGATATCATAAGAAAATTTATACAAGCGGCTCCAGAACCGTGCCCTGCCAGGGTGACATTATTTGGGTCACCGCCGAAGAGAGCCACGTTTTGTTGAATCCAGTGCAGTGCAGCTATTTGGTCCATAAGGCCGTAATTCGCCACGCGAGCTTTGAGGTGCGGCGCAGGATTGGCGTTTAAAAAACCTGCAAAAAAAGTAAACAAATTTTACTGGGTAATTTTATTGGGTGCCAATAATAATTAAAGTATTTGAAACATTATATTGTACATTGTATATGACTATGATAAGTGATTTAATAGTTGTGATCTGAATAATGTAAGACAAAAATCCAATACTTTCATGAGTATAAATTATACATTATTCATAGATATTATTAAACTCTGTAATAATGGGTAGGTAGAGTTGGGTATGGGTAGTTGTTAGGCCGTCACATAAAATTTAGTAAATACAGAGCAAATAACGTACATAAACGCTTTTAACTACTCACTACCCGGAATTTTGCAGTATATTTCAAGCAGTTGACAAACAGACGGTTACCTTCACTCGAACCGTTTTATGTAAATAAGGAGTTAAAACAGATTTAATAAGTTCCCTAACCTCTATATTGAACTTGCATAAATTAAAGTCTGTTATAATGAGAATCCCTTTGTGACGGCTCGCTCATTCCTATTCCAGCAGAAACGCACCTTGCTATGCCATTATGGAGCCAAAACGGTAGATATTTTATGATATAATATATTTTTTAAATAGTCAGTTTTTGTTGCACCTATCAGTATAACTTCTTCCTTTATAGCGCATAAAAATTCTCCGTACAAAAGTTTCTTTTCCCTGATATTATTTTAAACAAAGCATTCAACTCAAAGTTTTGTGTAATAATTTAAGGTAAAAGCAGCAACATTTTCCGCTCTCACTGCAATTTACTTCCGTGAAGAGGGCGGTTCCGTTAACACCATTGTAAAAAGCAAGGATAAATTTTTCGCGCGTTCCGTACTAACGTTTGTCTATGTCTGACTGTCAGCTCGCAGAGGCCATCTGCTTATTTCTGTTCAGTTTCCACCTTAGTAGAGGCGCTTCATTTTGATGTAGGTTGACTCTTTCAATTTAAATCTGGTCTGAAAAATAGGCTAGGATCCTGCTGTATTTAGAGTAAATTGATTCGCTTTTGGCTGCTCGAGAGTAACGGGGTTTTTGTATTCTGAAATTGTAGCGTTTACAAAGAATTCGAACGAGTTTATTACTGCGAAGCGGGGGCTCTAAAAACGAGGTCGAATATTTTTGCTCGTTCGAAAAGCAGGATTAAAGTTATTTATGTAAATTCAGGATCATTAAACTTCTATCTAGCTTCTCCTTCGAAAGAAATATTTTAAGTAAATACATACATTCCTAAAGGTATGCTATAACTAAACATTCTTTTCTGAAACAAGATTGACAAAGTCCGCAATTACTGCTATATTACCATTTCTCTGCAGAATTACGACTATTTTGCTGCTATAAATTTCATAATCCGAGTGTGATTTTAGTTTTACGATAGGTAACTGCAAAGCCATATTTTTCAACAAGTAGAAATTAAATTTTTGATTGCTAAATCCAAGCATACGGGTTCGGTTTCGTGTACGGGTGGTAAAAAAGCACGCACTGCAATATTTCAAGAGGAAATTGAATCGCTTCACCTGAACGGTATAGCTTTTAGTAACAATCGCAAATTGAAATCGTGGAAAAATATTGCAATCAAAAAATGTAAAAAAGTCGTAGCAACTAATACGTATTTTATGGACGAATCTGAATATTTAGGGAGATTTGTGTCGATTTTCTCTTCCGAGTCCAGTTCAATTGCGATAAATATTGTCTCGTTTGTTCCTTTTTTTTTCTCATGCGTCCCATGTAGATTCTAGACAGGGAGTCGATGCTCGGACAAGAGGAATGTGATACAATAAAAACCCATTCATGCCACATCAAAAACAAGCTATTACGACGAGCGAATACAAACTGAATACAAATAGCAACGACGGATATTAATTAGAAATTAATATCGTTTCGGAATTCATGGATAAATTAAAAAAACCATACAGGATTCCGACGTCATTATATCTCTTCGCCCTTTCCTCTTCATTGTTATAAAGCAATTACATCAAACCCAAACAATTACCGTTCCAAGTGTATTCAATTAATCTGACGTGGCTCATAATTTTAAATTGCCTGATAGCTGTATAGATCAAACGCCTGGTGAATAACAAAGCCAGTGATTTACTAAATTGAATTTGCAGATGATGCTCGAGGTCTTTTCACGTGTACCGCAAATCTTACTTGATTTACAGGTCGGAACTTCTTGTCGCAAATGCGATTAACTTTTAAAATTGTTAATATAAAAACCGTCAAAATGTGTATTGTCCTATAAACGGATTTATTTGTAAAAAAACGAATTAGAAGAGAAAAAAGTTTTTACATAATTTCGCAACTTAAGTAGGTATTCAAATTTTATTTTAATAATGCTCAGAGAATACGCAGCTTGAAAGCAGCAAGAACCGGAGTTTATATTCGTTCTTTAATTGTGGTATATTTATTCAACCAAACAAACTCATCCAGCGAATACCCTAGATGATAGTTAACTTCCTCGCAGCCATTTTACACTTGGGAAAGAAGAGGGCGAAGTCATAATGAAAGACATTATGTCGAATGGCGAATGGTATACTGCAGAAGTTACACAACAGCGACAATATGTCGACTTCACAGGCTGTTTGATGGATAAAGTATTGGTAAAGAGCTTCTTCCATTTACTCCGGTCCATCAATTTTTATGTTTACAATGTGTCCGAGATATTTCTGCTTTTATAGAAAAGGTATTTTTGATGATTGCTTGCCTTGCTAAATTGGTAGGTAGGTATACTAATAGGTATTTAATAGTAATAAAAAAGTGAGTTTGAATAAAGAGCTTTAGTTCTTGGATATTCAACCATATCTCTAGATGGAAGTTGTCAAGTTTGGTGGGTAATTATGAGCACAAGATGATTATTATACTGTGGGATTATGGTGAAAGTATCTGATAACTTATTATTATAAGACACTTACCTAAAATTCCTAATCTGTAGTTAAGCGTTATTACTACGATATCCGCGTAAGAAGCTAAAACGCTTCCATCATAAGGATTTCCTGAGTTCCATTCGAAAGATTCTCCATGAATGTAAACCACTACTGGATGAAGCGTTTCGATGGAAGCTGAAACAAAGAAAAATATATATTTTTAGGTGCATAGTAGGTAAATAATGAAATATTTTAACTTCAAATTTCAATTTTTACAGCAGTAAAGAAAGCAGTGAAAAGTTAATTTTCTCCTGTGTTGAGTTATTCGCGTATTCCGTAAATGAGGGACAATTATATTTGAAAAAAACTCAATTTTACTCCAAATCCCCACCAAAAATACTTATCATTGTACTGCTTTTTTTAACACGCATTCAGACATTTCAATTCCAGGAGTTGATAATTTGAAAGAAAACTCCGTTGAAACTTTCGCCGCCTCCTTTTGAAGAAGTGTAATAAGTAGCGAGATTTTTATTCTTAAGTGATTTTTTACAATGAACGCAATAAATATGTTTGGGCGAGCGTGAAAGAGGACAGAAAACCCATTTCAGTGAAAAATGGTCGAACGGATGAATCCTCGTGACTTAACTAAAAAGGAAGTTTGAGATGAATCGTGATTTATTTGAAAGCAACTAAATTAAGTTATTTATAAATTAATATTTATGTGATAAAACAGTAAGTTGAATCTAATGAGGAACAATAGCTCCCGGGGAAAATATTTCTTCCACAATGCCTCTTGTTTGTCGAACTAATGTAAAAAGGAAAGGGATATTGATGTCTGAACTTACTGCAGGAACTAAAGTTGGGAGTTTATCAAAGAGTAGAGACTAAAATTTCATTCAATATGTAACTAATATTTATTGTTCCAGCATTACTCTTTATTATTGAATGTGTAATAATGTATTGCAGCTGCATGTAGATTCACAGTATTTTTCTAGTTTTTTTAATGACAAAGTTGATTGCACCATTGAAATTTAATAATCAAGAATGTACAGAAATACTTTAGAAGATATTCTATTCTATTTTTAAAATTTTGCATTCGAAATGTCTACTTTTTTTAACTCGGTAACCCCCAACTTAGAGTTAGTTATATCCTATTCTTAGGAAGGAAACAGTTTAAGTGAATTTAATTTCCTCATCGAGAGTATAAATTGCATTTTATTTCTAGAACTTAGGGCATTGCTGTAAACTTAAACAATTATAAGTGAATTATGAATTACACCGTAAAACTAGTCGTGGATTAAAGTTTCTCGAAGTATTAAGCCCAAGAGCAACTCAAAGACAGGGATACTGTTGTGCATCTGAAGTTTCGTCCAACAGCTTATCTTAATTTAATTAAAAAAGTAATAAAACAGTTGAACGATTTAATTAAGAACGAATATGTCTAAAATTAACACGGTGAGAGCCTTGAGGGCTTCAGAGCGAATTATTTGTTATATTAAATACAATGAAACCTGAATTAATAACCGAGAATAATTTCAATCAAAGATTTGATGCAGAATTCATTAACACAATAACGAGATAAAAGGATTGTTCAGCAGCTTGAAATAAAATGAAAATTCAAAAGAGCCACATCGTTTGCTGCTCAATAATCCAATTTATCTTACTAGGGACACAAAACAGTATAATAATGTACATACGTGTGAATGCAATGGATTATACAAAGATTACAAAGGCATTGTTTTATCTACAATAAGGTTATTTCAATTTTATTGTTCTATTTTATTTACTTGTATAATGACACTTTCTTTATCAATTAATTACTATCAAAGGAAGTGTAATCTCTTATTAGAATGTTTTGTTCTTTACCTATATGGATAAGCACCTGTACAATTCATTAAGAAAACCATATTTTTAACACAAAATATAGGTGTAAGAGGTAAAATAAAGAGTAACATGTTTTTGAAACTTATTTATTTTCTTCCGAGAGAATTTGATTCAGAACAGAACTGTTTGTTGGCCAAATTGGAAATATCTGGTTTATTGACTGGCCTACAACAAAAATGATATAAATCCTTCTTTGATTCCTTTCTTTATCTTTAGTTTTTATTGGGAAAGGCGGACTTTCTGTATGTGGCGGCTTTCTATAACATATCATTATTTTTATTACACCAGCCTTTTTTAAAACTCCTATATTATGGAATATGTTCTACAGCTTTTCCGCGTTTTCTACTATTTTTGGGTTTCCTGTATTGTTTATGCGAATATTTTTTATGGAAATGTTAGTGCTTTAACAAGAAATATTATTGTCTTTTCGGAAAAATTCGTTTATGCTTCGTTACTACATTGAATAAAATTCAAGTTACACGTTAACTTAAAACGAATACTTCCAACACCTAATTTAATAAGCAAAAACTCGATTATTATAATGTACCTACCAAATGTAAAAAAAAATATTTAAGTAATATATTCCCTTTTTTATCCCCAAGAAGAAAATTAAATCTTATTATATATTATTCAATGTCACTGGAAATATACATATCTCCTCAAGTACATTTCGCTGTTCCTTTAAATAAGATAATACTTTTTCCTAAATACCTTTTTGTTCTTTCTTCAGCAAAAAACTCAGTATAAAGCAAAAGGTAGTGCGAGGAAATATATCTACCCTTTTACAAAAATTACCAACTTTCAGGACAACGGGGAATGTGTCAGCAAATTGTTAAAAATAACAACACCCAATCGATGTTACCGAAGATTCCCTAACAATATAAAAGAGATTGAACGTTTTTTATAATCTTATCACCAACTCATAGATAAAACCGCTGAAATAAGAAACGATTGCGGTTCCACGCAAACAGATTAAATTGTCTCCGCTCACCATGTTGAGATATAATAAATCAAGAGACAAATCCTGGATACAGCCCCACATTTCGCTCATTGTCACTATCTCTGAACACTGAGATGCACATTTATCATTATTTTCTGTTTGCAGTAAAAGCCTCACGTACACACTAAATCACTTCTTTTTCCTAGATACCTAAGGTGTAGAATATAGAATTCGAAGAGAACATCAAATGAGCATTTTACACTGATTTGCACGTTTATCTCGAAAACGATATGAAGTCTGCGAAACCGTTCGTAAAGACTTCGTAATTTACTACATAATTTACTACATACAATTTACAGCATTTTGTGTCTATTTAAAATGTAGAAACCTACAAATGAAATAAATGTACAAATAAACTCTATGTATATCTATTAGAACAGATTAAAAAATACCCATTGTTGTTTGTAATCCATTTAGGTGCTTTGTAGGTATTTGAAAGGATAATTGTAATACACAAGAATAAGTTAGTGTTGTTGAAATATTAAAGCATTTTACATCGCATATGTTTTGAAACTGTTGCAGTCTCGTTGTTTGCGCTCGGAACTTTTAATATCCGCGATATTCATGTAAAATATCAAAAATGCATTAAGCATAGTTTAGAGAAATTTTATATTGAATCAAAGCGTGTTTTACCATGTTTAAGGATAAACGGTGGGAGCACTATAATTTTCAGGGAACTAATTTTGCAGGCAGCGCGTATCAAAGGAAATGTTGACATTTAAAAGCATCTTTTACATTATTTTTTTTGCTTTTTCTTAATATTACACCTTTTAAGCTAAGAGGCGATTTCTTTCATTTTGTTTGATTTTTATTGTTCTTAGTTAAATATAATTTACTACTAAAAAGACGATAAGTATTCTGTAAGATTATAAATCTTATTTAATAATAAATCAAAACGAAAATTATGCTACATATTTATAATGTAAATATCACCATAATTTTTAAGTACCTAATGATAATAAAAGTTAAATATTTTGGAAATAATTGCCAACCAAACTTGAGAGAGCATAAAAATATGGCCACAATACGAGTCCAGCAAGACTAGTATTATTGTTAATGTTAAATTACGTGAAACAAATACAATTTTCCTGATGCGAATATAATCGTGACAATAAATGGGAATAATTCCGCGCAAATAAAAATGTCCTTTCTCCGGTTTCGCTCCATAATCCGTCCACAGCAGGAACAGCAGTCGACCACCCTCCCAATTCATTTTCGAGCCGCATCGAATATGAGGAGAAACGGCCGCGCCGTTGTTAGAGCAAAGCACATACCAAAACAGAAGCTTGAATAAAGCTTACTCTAATCCGATTCACAGAGAGAAAATCTTAAATCAGAAGTTATGGCGAGGTTATACGCCTGTGCTGCCGGCTGCCATCTTATTTTCCTGTATGCGACTTGTTTACTGAAGTTTCTTCAAAATATTTGTGCGTTACGAGATAAGCCAAAGCTGCCGTACTTATATTTAACAAGTGCTTTTTTCTTAAATGTTGCTGTTTACAATATCACCGCTTATAGTTATATTATCTTTAACTAATTGTGTTTGGTTTAAAGTCCCACATAAGTAGATTAAAAGATTTGTTTATAATAAAAAAAGGAAAATTGGGGTGTATTTTTACAAGTCTATTATTTTATTTGTTTTTAACTTTGCAACTTCTCGATATTCTGAGTCTGCACAAACTGTGTATATTGCGGGTATGTCTAGTGAAGTTTTCGGTTTTGTTAGATATAGTTAGGAAACTTATATTAGGAAGAATTGGGACTGAAACAATTAATACTGGCAGTGTTCGTTCGACTCTAAATCAAAAAAAAGTCTTTTATACACCACAATAAATTATAACAATTTACGATTTAACGAAATATATCTAAGGTACCTAATACATTTAAAGAATTAAAAAAAAAACTTACCTTGAGACGGAGCGTATATATTCAAATATAGACAATCTTCGCTTTGGTTCTTCAAATACGGCAATAATCGCTTCAGATACTCCAGTCTTCCTTTAGGCATCCTTTCGAGGGCGGCAGTCTCGTTAGATATATCCGGTAGTTTTTGAGGACAAACCGGACCCATTTTATCGGATATTAAAATACCTTCCCAAGGACTGGGAGTCCTAGTGGGGCTGAACCGATTCGAGTGAATCGGCGGCGTTGCGTACGGAACTCCCAGGTACATTTCGATGGATTTCAAGTAGCGTTGCGAATCCATCGGCACAACGATTCCTTGCAGCCGGCCATATCTGGTCTGTACGATTCGCGTGCTCAGTTTCGCGTTTTTCATGAAATCATTTTTTAAGTATTCCGTATCGCATTTCGAAGCGAATATTATAAAAACAGAAAATAGAGCCGGTAAGAGCCGTCTGTATTCCTGCGCCATGTTTAAGTTAGTGGCATTTTCTTAATTAAACGAGCTGGTATAGTAGTGCGAGTATTCATATCAGAAAAAATATGCGATAGAAATGGTTCAGAAGGTCTCATTTATAACTTTTCCTGATAGAGAAGATCGCGGTTTCAGCAGTAGTCTTGTTCGTTGGTAGAGGCACCTGCAAATAAAAAACATTTATTATATCTCTATATCAGTTTTTCTTCCAGACAATTCACATTAATAACTGGGAACAGCAGATGTTCTTATCATGCACAACAAGTTCCGTAAGCCTCACTAAATGTGAAGTTGGGTATCAAACAACTGTGTTTTCCGGCGTAACATACTCGATATATTTTTTGATTTACTATAAACCGAGTCATCAATTATAGCGGCGTGTTTTCTCCCTGTCAAATAACAAGCAAGTAATTCATAATTTCGCCTTCTAATCCAATCTTCTGTAGGGTTTCAATTAATTTTGAATGGTTCGCCGCACCTTATTAAAAGCTTCAGTGATGATGGTACAAAACAGAGCTTATATTTTCCATTTTAAGAGTAAATTTAACACACATGGACAATTTAAAATAAAAAACAACAACCCTCTTTTATAAATGTATAATTTATCCATTGAACAAACTGCGTATACTTTAAAATATTTTAAAATACATTACCTAGTGAAATCGGTTTTTAAATCATCCCATTAAACTCCTGGTAAAAACTTTATTTAAATATTTGATGTAATATGAATAATAACAGATTATCAAATTTACTCTCTTTTACCTTTTGAACGAATAAATTGAAATATGGCCAGCGGTAGATTTTAAGTTAATTGAAATAATAGTCATATCTGCTGCAAAACCAACGTAAAATTTTCATATTTCACACGTCACAAACATTACGGCTAATTTATTTTCAGTATTTATCTTCTCGTTTTACCGTTTTATAAAATACACTGAAACTTTTGTTCGAATCGAAATTGAATTTATTTTCAACTCTGAGCACATTAGCTATTTTACAGAGGTTTAACTGCAGAACTTTGAAAAATGTTAATTAAATAATCGAGTGCAATAAGCGAGTTTTGCATCATGGGACATTCGGAAATAATGAAAGGAAAGAAGCAGAGAGTGCGAGAAGGTTTAATTTATTATTTTGGTTTTCCCGAAGGTAAATGTCCGACTTCTAAAGTAGGTATACATTGTTTTTTACTTTGCAGGGCTTTAAAAATGCAAATAAAGGGGAATGAGGTCGGATATATTGGTAGAAAGATTTATTTTTGCTTTGTTCACCTCACTCTCATAATATTGCGAAATTTTAATTATTGATCTGCACGAACTTTTTTCATTTAAGTACAATCAGATTATTTTATGAGAAAAAAATAGTAGGTACATATTAAATTTTTAGTTTTCCTACACCAAGCGAAATTTCATCTCATATTAGATTTAATCATACTGATTAACATATCAGGAAAAAGTGATTTATATAATAAATTCCCGCGCATAAAGCTTTATTTTCGTTAAAAGTCTTTTCACGTTTCGCCAACATTATCGACTTCTCCACTATCAATTATTATGTCGCTCCAAACTTCGAGTATTTTAAAATAAGTACTTGACAGAAGTTTTCAACAAGAAGTTACTTGCAATAACTCAATTAATAAACTAACTTACAAGAGTGAAACTTCGAGAAAGGTTAATAACTAGCAATAACCAACGTAGAAACACATTTCGCTTGGCGTTTTTTACTTCATAAATAACATTTCCCCAACACAGTTGTTGTAATTTAACGGTAATCAATACCGTGTAGTTGCAGGTAATGGGAATTGATGGACATTTCCATTAGTGTAAGGAGTTTCCGATGCTGTTTAATTATCTCATTTCGGAGAAGTAACGAACTTACAGCCAAAGAAAAAATAAGATTACCCAAGTTTAGTTAGACTCAGATGTTTATAATTGATTTAAAATGTTCATTTATTGTTGAAATAAGGTATAAAACACATAGGTAATTTCATTTTTACTTTTATTAGATTTGCATTTTACTACTTCTCTAAAAGTTTTAATAGTTTTAGACACTTAAAAAGTAATTTTGGAAACTTATACTTTTCGTTATTAAATCGTTTGGTTATTTTTGAATGTTATAGATACAAGATTTACCGGATTTATGACTAATTGGGCTTAGTTATCAGTTGAATATAATTAGGCTGGTTTTAGTACTCGACCGATAGTTGTGGTTTCAGTTTCTCACGTTCTCTTCACCCAATTATTCCACGGAGACAACTTCCAGCGGAATTTTGCTCGTTAGCATTTCGTGAACATTAGTAAGAAACTGAAGACAAATTTGTCTCCAGCAAAAAAATTCCAATTTATTCGTATTTAATTAAACTAATTAAATCAGTTCTGAATTAAACTCGTTATTTTTGTAATCTAGGTACCTAATTGTGAAATGGCTAATGAGTTAAATAGTTTTAATATGTTCTACTGTATATAAGTTTATAAACAGTTTATAAACATTATAAAGTTCTAAAACTAATCAAGCATCATTTATCCAAACCAGAATGAATTACATATTTTCTAACATCACGAGACTGGTCTAAAAATTGACATTTATTTTATAATTAACTAGCTTCAAAATTTGTTTAGGGCATTTTTGTTGGATTACTTTTCATCCTCTTTCCATTTCATGGAAAATAAAATTACCATATTTTTAGGGACCGTGCCACAATAGGCTAATCATAAACTGATTATCTTGCCGGCCACGTAATAGGGAAATTTTCTTCAAGGAATGCCGACTAACTGAATTAAGGGGTGGGCGCTTTTTAAGGTTAAAGGGTTAAACAAGTTACTTTCATGATACCCTTCAATTTTCTTTGAACGCCCTTCTTACGCATTGAAGAGATCTCTGTAAAAGCTAAATATTTATTACGATTAGTCAACAGTAAGGAAAGGAGTTAACTGAGTCTAAATGATTTGATAAGTGGCGAACTTACGATTTCATTAATTTTCTTATAGGTACGGACACCTTTTTAAACCAGTCTCAGTTATTCGGTTTTTAAAATGAAACAAGCTTCAATGATAAAGTGAACAGTGACGGATAACAGTATTGTCCATTTGTAGTTGATAAATATGTATAAGAATAATGGGAGAAGGAATAATAAATTTTAGTAGTCCAAACAAAATCACTGATAATAAACAAACTTAATATTCTACTAACCTTCTTGAAACTCTGAATAATCTTTTTTAATTAATAGTAGAACACGATCCTTTAATCAGAAAATTGCGGAATATGACAAACTAACGTTTTCGTAAAGTTCGCTAACACCGCTAAAAGAGAAATTGCAGTTTTTCTAATTACAAAAGTTAAATTAGAGACCAAGTAAAATAGACTTTTTGAGTGCCTTCACATTTCACTTTTATGAAGTTGGGTCATTTCCGTCGTATTAACGCCTCTGATTGTTTATTCTTTACCTATTATAACCAACACTGCATCGTTTCTCATCTTTTTATATTTTTTATTATTGGATTATTGGAAAATAATTAGCGTAGGTCACAATTCATTAGGAAATAAATATATAATATTTATATAAATAATTATTTATAATATTATCCATATTTTTTTAGCTCTTTCAAAATAATCCAACATAATCAATACCTTCGTTAAAATCAATTATAGAACAATTCTCGTTGATTTCCTCGATTATATACATTAGGTATTTACGACGATATAAAAAATTTAGTCGGAAAAATTCAACCAGCAGGTACAGACCGAAAACCGCTGTTTACTTACCGAAGCTCTATTAACTTTAACGCGTCATTATACTAAATGTTGCTCGTACAACTCCGCATTCTGGAAAAGTGGTCCAATAAATTTTTAGGGTCCGGCTTTATTGAGCGGGAACCCATATCAAACTGTTTCAGTTTTAAGGTTATTTTACGTTTTCAAGGAACAACAAAGAGACCAGATTTTTTATTTCGGTTTAAAGCTTTAACTATAAAAATTTAAGAGAATTATTGGAATAAAAAAGGTACCCTTGGGAGGTGTGACGTTGGCTTTGTTCTATTTTGTAAAGTTTTGTTAAAGACAATTACACGGTTATATAAAATATCTGTTTTATACATGAAGCACAGTTAGAATTAATTATAAATAAGGGTCAGTTAACGTTTTAATAATACATGAAGCCACTATGATACATAATTCTCGAAAAGAAAATACACTTATTACTGAAGTTCAGAGGTAAAAAGAGAAGTTATTAACTTGAGAAAACGTAAAATCCTAAAAGAAAGTACAAACTCGTAGGATTTCACCATTGCATTATTAATAATCTTAATGATTTTGTTGTTGAAAGTTTGCGATAAAAATAAAAGACGGATTTATTACGACAGTAAACTGACAATGATTAAACCAAATGTTGATAAATGATTTAGCCCAAATAAACTTGCTGAGAAAGGTATAGAAGGGATAAGGTGCCCAACTAAATGACGACCCTGATTTGGCAGACATAATTTATTAAGAAAACGTAGGTATATATTAGACCTTAACTTAGATCCTTTAGAAATTTACCTATTTAGAACTAACCCGTCAATGGTTCTTCAGTTACCCACAGATAGTTTGAATAGTTTAGATGTTTCTTGTAGTAAATTGACAAGATTAATAAATAAATAATTTAGCAAATTTTAGCAAATAATAATCGATATTTCGTATATGAAATAGAAAAATAAATTATTTTATTTGTCCAAATATTTTCTTATGTGCTTCTAGATATTTAAAGGGAAGATTTATCCCAACGGCGAAAATCCTCGAAAAAGATATTATATATTCCGAAAAGATTTTTTGCTGTTGCAATCCCCATGTGCTCAGACTGTCTGTCAGTGTGCAAATTTTATTTTTCTCTTTAGAGCTTTAACCGTTTAGAAAAATAAGAAAGGAAATCATTTGAAATCGTTATCGTCTTCTGTAAAAACCAACCGAATTCAGATTTCAGGTTTTTTCTTGTTTGGTCTATATTTTTGTACGATATCGATTTTCCATTTTCTTCAGTAATTCGGCCTTTGTATTATTTAATCGGATCGTTAGCTTATTTCTCCGCCAGTTCCGCATTTAGAGTGCACTAAAGTGAATATTTTTTTATGTTAATTAACAATGCCATCAATTTTTAATCAGTAACCATATGCTGGAATAAATAAGATCATTAATAAAATTATTACGACTACATAATTTATATTTGGGTTTAAAAAATTATGACATCTTAATTTTTAGATAAATTTAATAAGATACCGTGAATGAGCATTTTCCGGAAAGACAATTTGGATTTTGTTTAGTTTGTTCTCCAGTTCTACGAGCTGGAAAATTTATGAAGTAAATATAAAAGAACCCTCTCTTTGCCGTAATTTAGATGTCAAAGACAAAATAGACTAAACTGTAATAAAAATACCAACATTTACATTTCATTGGATGAAACAAATTATGAAATTTTTGAAAAAAATATTACTTAGGTATATAAGATTTATTAAAATAATACACTGTTGTAAAATATATATTTACTAACCAAAGTGCGAAAATATCTTTGAATAAACCTGAAAATTATTAATTATTTTGGTTTCATTTAAACTTACCTTAAAATTTTAACAATTTAAAATGTTCCAAAATTAAATTTTCCATATTTTTAAAAACACTCCTGCTTTAAGAAAGTCTCTTTTGAATTGACCACAACAATTCGAATTTTCCTACACTTCAATGGCAAAACAACAAATATTTATGAAAACTATCAAAACCCGTGTTTTCACTAGTTTTTCACACGTAACTTTGATACTTGCCATTAAGAAAAATGCGAATCCATTCACAGATTATTAAGTATAGGTTCTGTCATAAAACAGCAGTCTGTGCAAAAACATGGCTTTTAACAGTCGTTTTCGCGTGAAAAATTGCCCGTCCCGCGTGAACCGGTCACTATATTTGGATAAAGGACCGACGTTAAAGGAACACTGGCTGGTTTATGGAAACGCCGCTGAAGGCAGGACTGTGCCTGCAAAAATCGTTACTCGTCGCGCAGGAATCTTGGAATTGGGTGTTGCAAATTTAGTGCTGGCAATAATGAAACAGTACAATTTTGTTTAATATTCGTTTGTTAAAAAATTAAATTTACTGCATTACTCGAAATGAAAAATTATTAATAGAAGAATGCGCTAATGAAGGGAAACAAGCGATTTAAATAAAATAAATCATCACAACTGAAGAATAAATATATTAATAATTTTTATTATTATTTTGCGTTTGGATTTTGGATTGTGAATTTTATATTTTTTTTTTCAATTTTTCAAATAATATTTAATTTAAACCATAGCTTTTTTAGAAATTTTTAAATATACCTATTGTTAATACATAAATCATCCTGTATAATAATAAATTCTATTTAAAAGTGAAAATTCCGAATATTCAGTGAAATTTTTTTGTGGGCATACCTGAATAGCAAAGATTTCTTTAATAAAACGATTTCTTTGCTTAAAAATATGGAGAATTCAAGTTATTTTACGAAACGAAAGAGATCGAAGAGTGTTCAACCCATAGAATAGTAGGAATAAATATAATAAAAAAATTTTATTCATTACTTCCTTATATTATTGAAAGTACTCATAAAATATGCAAAAACTAGAAAGGGATTTTTCTGTAAACGACGTTGAAAGCAATTTAGGGAAGTATTATGTCATGGGTTTGGCTATTAAATGGGGTATTTTTATAGAATACGATTTACTATTTTTTCAAAAAAAACATCTTCCTTCATTTTCTTAAAAAAAATGGTTATTACCATTATTATCGAAACAAAAATTTGTAATGCAGGTTACGTATTTACATAGGTAATGCAAACCAATCTATTTAATTCTATACTAATCCCCTTCAGTGTTGTATCATAGTAAACTAATTTCTGGTCACATTCATCAATGATGCAAATGGACTTTTATATTTTTTACATTTATTTAAAAATATGCGATACAAAATAATTTAAAAACAATTAAAATGGAATATATTATAATATAATTATTGTAAAAATAAAAACTGTAGATACAAAAAACATTTTTACAATTTAAAACAAAATAATTATTAGCAGATAATAATGTAATAAATATATCTTCTATTTACTTATAGTAGATTATGTATTCTAATCATCAAGGTTTCTAGATCACAATTTTAATAGAACAATCTGAGATTTAATTGATTTAATTTACATTTCGTTTAAACAATTAACTATAAAACATTGCAAAAATTAATTACATAGGTATGATTTTTTTCTAATTTACATTTTATGGATCTTTGGCGCATATTTTGGAATCAATTTGCAAGGAAAAGTTTTTTTTTATAAAAATATAAAGAATTCCTAAACTTAACAGGACAAATATATCTGCATACATGTAACAACCTGTAGAATACAACGAAATATAACAGATAATAATATTGAGATATGTCCTAAGTTCTAACTGCAAAACATTGTAAATCCAACTTTTCGACATATAGTGAAATATTAATAAAAATATTTCCTGGGCACGGAAAACTATGCGCAACTTTTCCGACTTTTGAAGTTACGTTCACAGCTTCTTCGAGCGAAATGAAAATTAACTTCTACATCCAACAAAACCATCACCAAGTTTTTTTTCATGAAACTTTTTACATACCTACATGTATACAGAATGTTCTAAATAGATCGTTTACATTTTTAGAAAGGGAAAAATAAATTTCAATGTGGAGTACATAGAAATATGCGCCACTATCGATGAAAAATAATATGCCTATATAATTGTTTTCAATTAGTGATGATTTTGAGCATGTTATTAATTTTTAATTCTAGTTTAAATCATCAGTAAAAGTTGGAATTGGTTAATGTTTAGTTTATTAAGTTATATTCGTTTTTGGCAAAAATCCAAAAAAATGTAAATCAGATTAATTAAAACTATTGAGAAACACATTTTGTACCTGCGCATATACCTAATAGGTGAATTGTTGTTCCTAGTGTTCTGTCGTACTTCTGCATGAATTAATGATTAAAAATATTTTTATTTCCTAATTGTTTCTCTAAAAGTACAACGATGAGTATTAACACCACCTATTATAAAATTAAGTACGCAATGGAAAGTTTAATTTTACACATAGTTCACCCTTTTTACGTAGGTACTTGTTATTAAGTTAAAATTAAATGTAGAACATCTTTCAATGATTTAATTTGTAACAAAATATAGAACTACTTAAATGTAATTATCTACTCATCTTAGTATAACGCTGGTATTTTAAACTGAAAAGGATTATTGTAAACTTTGAAACATCTTAGCACAACATGGTAAGTACAAATAGAATGGCTAATTAATTTTATTTAATCAAACAGAATTCAGTCATTCGTATGGATTTGCTGGTAACTCTCTCGCTTACTTGATTTACCTACTTTAAAATGTTATGTTTTAAAGTTGGATAAAGTTTTCTTGCATAATATTTCTCATTTTTAATAGGGATACACTGATTGAGTTTAAACTAACACATATTAAAATGTCTACATTCGAGGTTTATTTTCCTGAATTTAAGAGCTCTTGATAACAATTAAATTGTGTTCTAATTGAAATGGCATTATATATATAATTCATCTTTTAACCATTTACAATTATCACGAACTACATTTAACAGGCCGAAGTCTAAACAGACTGTTAGCGCTAAAGCAAAGCTGAATAATTTAGAACAAAGATAAAAGGGCAAACACGAAACTGGGCGAGACATAATTTAACTTAGCCTCACTAATTCTTGATAAATTGGCTGAAGGTGATTGTAATCGCCTACTTTAGTGTCAAATTAGATATTATCGCGTTTCCTTGTTTTCGGAATTTCGATACGGAAAACTATGCTGTTTCGGATGACCTATTCGCTGTGGAAAATTGACCAGTTAATAAGTTATCTCTATTGGTTGATTATGGAACTGATACACATACTCTGGAAGAACGTGTCCTGGCAGATTTATTATCTCTCATTAGGTTTGAAACGTTGCCCGATACGTGACATTATTTTCAAAGAAATATTGGATTATTAGGTTGAATTTTTAATTATTTTCCTGGCAATAAAAAAGACGAAGAAAAAATAATCATATCTATGCAATAAAACAAAGAGTACATAAATATTCTCTTAAATGAGTTCTGAATAACAAATTTTACACGATGCTTCATTGGAATTTATTAACATTTCCACAAAGGACGATATTGAGATTGTAGGAAACATTCTGAAATGGGTAATCAAATATTTGCAATAAAATACAGGCCACTGGCTAGGAATGTTAAATGAAGCTTACTTTAAGCATACTTCGTGCTTTAATGTAAAAGGACTAAAATAAACAAGGAAAAATTACCAACATAAAACAGGGAACTAAAAACATTTAGAAATAAGATGAAAAATCTTGGCTCTCTTACACTAGAAAATTTCTCAAGAATTTTGGAACGTAAACAAATATATTAATATCCTTATTGTTTTGTAAAATTGAATTATCTATGTTATCCATTCTTTAGCAATTTTAATCTTAAGAAATATTGAACAACAAATATATTTTTAATCACAAACCGTACAAATGATATGTACTCTTATTTAGTACGGCAATTTGAAAACTTACAAAGGCTAGATCTCCCAAACGAAAGATGATATTTTTGGGGTACGTTGGGCGTAGGGCTTAATGGGCGGAATTTTTTTATGTCATTTTAGTTCCCCCTTCAAATCCTAGAAACGGTTTTAGGCATTTTTTGATATCATGTTTCGCTTGGGAGATGTAGCCATTGTAAGTTTTTAAATTGTCATACTGTATAGGTATGTATAAAATCCATTCTTGTCATGTAGTACTAAGTAAAAAATCTATTTATTAATTCCATGTTTAACCAAAAAATACAAAGCTTAATTATTCATAATTTTTCTAGGGGTAGCGAAATTTAAATATTCTCTGTAAAATTATTTCATGAAAAATTTAGATTTGTAATAGATATCTTTTTATTTGTGTCCAAGAAGACAGAAGTAGAATTAAACTCAATAAATTAATTTTATTAAATCTTAGTTGATAAATCTACTATAACATTAATATTACCCTATTAATAAATTTGGAGAGAGCAATAATTATTTGAAGTAATTCTGTAAAATAGATAATTAAAGACAGAAGCATTTTTTAGCGTACGAGTACATTTATGCATATTTAAATTTAAGCCACCCTGTAACGAAGAATCATTAACTCTGTATATTAACATTATTGATATTTCTAATATCAGTGCATAGTAATACTTTCATTATTAGGAAAGAAGCTTACATTACTTGGATATTACCCTGTATGTAGACAATACAAAAATACAAAAACTATACTAAACATAACGATTTTTTATAAATAAATAAGATATATATATATAATACTATAGAGATGGCAAGAAAAACTTTAGGCAGGTTAAAAATATCGTAAAATTTTTGCTTATATAATTTCACGAACAAAAATCACAGCACATAAATACAAAACAATAACAATTAATCTAAGAAAACAATGTGAGTATTTAAAATGAGTATTAAATTTTAGTACAATTTATTGTCAAATTCGTTGATAATCTAAAACAATGCAAAAGATTTTACATATATGTAACAATAATTAAGTATTTTCAAGTAAAGTTCTCTCACTGGTAAGCATCAGTCACTGATAGATGTTTATTTCGTATTCCTCAAATCAGAACATTCTAGA